CCCTGGTTGCTCCAGGAAACTTCCTGTGCCTGCAAGTCCGCTTAAGGGAGTCCTTACCCCGCTGACACTGACTGAGCTAATTCGCTGCTCCCTCTGGGAGACGCCCAGCCCGGAGCACCTGAGCAACAGTGACTGGTCTGAAGCCAGGTGTCCCCTGCGCCTTCTCGGCAACAACTCCAGGGAGACCTGCCAGGAGCTCCAGGGCACAGGGCAGCGCCACTGTCCCCACTGCAGGAGCAGAAACTGCCCCTTTCTGCTGGGCCTTTCCACTGATGGGGGAGTGGAGAGAGGATGTCCTCCTGGCAGCCCCTACTCTGTCCTGGAGGACATCTTCCACCTGTACTTCTGCCCTGGATGAGCTATTTAATGGGGAGCACCACCTGGGTGGCCCCTTCTCAGGGCTGGTCTGGGTTTGGAAATCCATCTGAATTTAGTTTCAGAGCTCTGCGGGCCTGGCAAACTGTGGGGGTCCGGGTCCTAAGCATGGAGTTTGGGGACCTGCCGTGTGACCACGAGCCAGCCACTCCCATCTCTGAGGCTGTTTTCACATCTGAAAAATCAGAGGGTGAATGAGATGATTTCAGAAGGTCCTTCCTGGTTCTAAAATTCCCTGCTTTCCTGGCATTTAGGTATGTCCTATTTCTAAAGTCTCTGCTAAACACCCTACTCTTCATCAGGCCAAGATAAGGAGCCCATCTTCTGGGCTGCTCTTGAATACAGTTGGAGAAGTGGCCTATGTGACATGTGATGAGGCACCCACCCCCAAATGCCTCCCAAGTACCCCCTCCTGGCGTTGTTCTTCCTACCTGTTGACCCCCAGAGCCCTTGGCCTGGGCCTGAGACACAGCAGGAGTTCAGAGAAGTATCCATCATTAGAGTTATTCCAACCACTGGCTTACCTACTCCCATTGGGACAAAGCTGGCCATTGTCCCAGGAGGACCTACATGGTGTTCTAGAAGACAGGGAGGGCCTGGGGAGACTGGGCCCTGCTCACTCCCATTAGGACAGAGTCTGGAAAAATTTGCCAGAAATGTTTTTCTCATCGTCTGGCCCTCAAAGACAAGAATTCAAGGGGCAAAAGTGCAGATTGGTATACATTGTCCTGGTGAACTGGAAAGGGCCTCAGAGGTCATTTTGTCAAATGCCCACAGCATCCCGTCTCTGATTTTCACAATTGGGGAAACCAGAAGTAGAATACTGGGCTGACTGTGGATCACCCTCTTTTCTCCAGTCTCTGGGGGTGAGGAGGTTTCTTATCTGGATCTTATCTGAAAGGTCTTTTCTTCCTGATAGCCTGATTCCAGGCCCTGGTGAAACACACCTGTTTTGGACTTGAGGGTAGTCAGGTTGGTCAGACTTCTCAGTTCGTTTCTGTTCAGGATTGGTTTGTGCAAGGCCTTTTTTTAGTCCTTAAATTTATTCATTTCATTAATTCATTTATTTATTCTCCGTTATGCTCATAGCTCGCTCACTTCTCCCTCTCCCCACTGAAATTTCTGACGTGTCGGCAGGTGCATGCACGCGCAGGGTGCCTGCGTCTGTCATGTGTGGGAGTGGCATTGTCTTATCAATGTCATCCCATCTCTTCCTGTTCCCTTGTCTTGTGTCATAAGACAAATTACAACAAGTTTAATTTAAAGATCTCAATTGGCTTTATTATGATTCTAGAATCAGGCAAATACTTCATTCCATAAAATGCCACCATCACAGGAAACTCAGGAACGGTGGTGGTTGTCAGATGGAGAGGTGACAGCCTCAGCCCTCTAGGACGTCCTCGGGTGGGACTTCAGCAGCTTCCCTATTCCAGCCCCTTCCTCTCCAGCCTACCTGGCCAAGCCCCTCTGCCTGATTTTTGAGGTCCCTGTGATCTGACCCATCCTCTCTGCCTACACGTGTTTTCTTCTACCCTCCACAGTGCCTATTCCACTTAAATCCCAACACACCCATCCTCACTATTGTACCTTTGCTAATATTGCTAGCAGTAAGCAAGAGCTCACGCAGAGTCTTTCTGTGTCCCGGGCCTTGTGCTCGCCTTCCTAGGCCTTCTCATTTTACTGTCACGTCACTCTTTTCAAGTAGGTACAACTATTATCCTCATTTTACAGATCAGAACACTGAGGCACAGAGAGGCTAAGAAACTTGTCGAGGGCAGCAGATAGGAAGGATGGAATGGTCTGGACTCCACTCTGCTCTCTTCTTCACCTAACATTACATCTGTTCTCCAAGGCCCAGCTCAAATCTCGATGAAAACACCTGTCCCTGACTATTTCAGGCCAAAGCGATGACATGATGCCACATTTTAATAATAACAGCTAAAAAACCAAACCAAAGTGAAAACAACATCCCTATTTCTTGTGTTTTTTTTTTGCAGTTGGCTGGTATAGGGATCCGAACCCTTGACTCTGATGTTATTAGCACCACGCTATTTCTTGGGTCTTAAAGAAAAAAACCCATAAACACAAAGAAACTCAGACATGCACCCATCCCTTGTTGTCAGGCCTTGTTGGACCCTTGGTTCTCTGCTGCCCTCCTGCGGCCTCTTGTTCTCCTGGTGGGGAGGGTAATAATCTCTGATTCCCTGAACTCCCAACAGCAGATGTTCCTTCTGGGCTCTTGGAGGGTCAGAATATGGGACATAATGTGAACATGACAGATACAATCCCTGCTCTTATGGAGCTTTCAGCTTAGCTTTAATAAATTATACAAATACATACACAGTCTGCAACTGCAGATGTAAAGCAATTTTTATATTGTGGGACGTCTTCTGTGATCCAGAATTTACCACATTTCTGGGTGCTCATAAGGATCAGTAGGTATTTGTCAATTCAAAACCTGGTCCTTGTCTAGGAAATGAATTAAGGACACAAAGTCTATGCCAAAAACAAAACAAAACAAAAAACCCCAAAATACCCCACAAATAAAATAAAATAGGAACACCCCCATCTCTGGGCTGATTAAGCAAAGGCTGTAAAACTTTTGTTCGTATAATTGTAGTGCAAATCCCTGCTTCCCTGGAAAGGGGCTGATTAACTCTGAATTTT